CGCCTCGCCTCGCCTCGCCTCGCCTCGTCTCGCCCAATCGGAATTTCAAGCGAATTTGCAATCCGAGTTTCGAACAGCCTGCAGCGGAGCTCAGACTGCAGCGACGGCGCCTCGGACTCCGGCACCCAATCGAATTCACAGCCTCGCTCGCTTCCCGATCCCCTCCTCCATGCATATCGGCAGCTCGCTTTCTTTTTTGACTTGCAGGCTAAGTTGAATACAGGTTCGTGAGTGTCATGACGGTGCTTTGCAGCCTGCCTCCGACGGAGTATAATAGCACTGGATCGGATCGCTTGCTTGCCGTGAAGGCGGCAATGCATCGCGGATTCACAGGGAGACGTCTTCGGGACTGACTCCGATCGGCAGGTAGCTGGCATCTGACAGCGCCCACCGCGGCCAGGAGCGCTTGCCGAGCTGTTCCATCGCGCTGTCGCTCGAGCACACGTTCATGCGCCCAGGCGCCTCGCCTTGCAGGTACTCCGCCATCTTGTCCGACCACACACGCGAGGCAGCGCGGATCTCGCGGGGCACCTTCGAAGGCAGCACGAGCACGTGCACGGCAGGACGCGCCACCACCGTTCCTTCCGATGCGGCCGCCCGACGCAGCTTTGCTTGCAGCAGCTCGGCGAGCATCTCGGCCGCCTGGATCGCACACGCCAGCCTCGGTCGGTCAGAGCGCGCATCGCGGCCCACAACCACGTACAGCTCTTCGTCGCGCAAGTTGAGGATCGAGATCTTGGTCGATCGCGTCGGCAGCAGCAGGTCGTGCGCTCCAAAGTAGCCGTTGGAAGTAACAGGTTGCAGCTGCAAGTCTTGACCCCGGAGCTCGACATCCACCAGGCTTGCCGCGTCGGTGCGAGCACCTTTGTCTTGTCGGTGGAACCAGGCGCTGGCATATTCTTGCGACTTGTCGAACACGTTCGAGAACAGCGCAGCCTCCGATCCCTCCTCCATCTCGACCATGCCTTCGCTGCTGCGAGCGCCGCTCGAACCAGACTTGGCGAGCGCCTGCGCGAAACGCACCGCTGCAGCACGCACCGCCGTCGACGCGCCCCGTCCATGCCACACACCGAGCGAAGACAGCATCGAAAAGACGAAGCTGTCGCCCGAGCATAGATTGGTGGTCTGCAATTCGACCTGCTGAATGGCAAAGCGCTGACCCGGGCCAGGGCTTGAGCCAACAGCAGCACGGATGCGGTACAGCGACGAGGCTGCCGCGTCAAATCGCTTGCGCGAACCGTGGCGGCTGATCGCCCAAGTACCCGAGAGACTCGCGATCAGCTCGTCTGGTTCGCAGCCTGAAGGGATCATCTCGGGCTTGCAAGCATATCCCTGAGCAAGCTCCTGGACTTTGCGGCCCTCGGCGCACGACGTCGAGCGAGGACCGTACTCAAACGGATGCAAAGCCGAGGCTTGGCCGGTCCTGACCCAGATTTTCGTTTCCGTCTGTCCAGCGTCCGTTTTGAAACGCTTCACGACAGCGAGTGTCTCGTCGTCATACAAGATCTGTTCGCGTCGTAGCTGCTCGCTTCGCTGGAAGGTCTGATCGCCCGAGAATTCCAGCGCTTCCACAAAGCCATCTGCATCGATCGCCAACACCTCCACAGAGACTGTCTTGACGTTGCTAGAGGCAGCAGAGGTGTGCGAAGAGCTCACCACGTCGGCCAGGGTCGCGTGCTTGGCAATGGCCGAGCGTGCTGCTTTCACGATCGAAGGAGCGGCGGCAATTGCCTCGCCTCCGGCGAGTTCGGAGCCCAACTCGACGATTTCGAGAGGCGATGGCTTGGAAGCAGGTGCGATTGCGGCAGCCTTTTCTTGCTTGGTTGCGGCCTCCTGTCGATCCAGCTCTTCGAGGTGTCCCTTGAGTACGAGGTCTGCTGCCTGGACGATGATGACGTGCTCGACCTTGTGAATCGCCTGCTCGAGGTCCTCCAGCTTGTACGTCGGCAGTACGTCGACCTCGCGCACGATGATCGGACGACCGCGGTCAACGTCGGCGACGACCTCGTGGACCATGCAGCCGGTCTTCTTGATGAGCCCCTGCTGGTATGCTTCGAAAGCACGTGGAATGGCGTTGGCACCGTCGAAGGCGCCGGGCAGTGCGGGATGCAGGTTGATGATCGGCACTGCCTTAGCCGGCCTCGCGCCGACGGTAGGTGTGTTGGCAGGCAGGCTCGTAGTGTGACCGAGCGCATGGAGGAAGGGCTCGGAGACGATGTGCATGAATCCGGCCAAAACGATGAGATCCGGTGGCGCGCCCGTGCCCTCGGGGTAAGGACCGTCGAGTACGGCGCGAGCGAGCACTTGGTCGTACTGTTCGCGGGTGCCACCAGGATTGCGGTTCTGCCAAGTCTTGAGGGCCAAGACTTTGGTGGGGATCGGCGGGTTTGATTCAGCTGCCCTCGTCAGCCCATAAGCAGCCTTGCGGTTCGAAAGCACAAACGAGATCTGTGCGTTTTCGATGGTCGGAAGACCGGTAGGTGGGTCGAGCAAAGTAGCGTCAATCAACGACTGCAAGTTGGAGCCCGATCCGGACACGAGCACATGGATGCGCTTGCCGGAAGTCCTTCGTGGCGGCTTGGGTGCCGACACGGGCTTGGAGCTTTCCTGCACTGCTGGCGTAATGGCAGCCTTCTCGGCAGAAGGGGTCGGAGCAGCTTTCGTGTCCGCTGGAGATGGGCTTGCTTTAGCTTCCGCCGGGGCTCCTCGACGAATGGGTCCCTTTGCCCGCGCCTTGGTCAGAGGCGCCAGGACCTGATCAGCGGTCGATGTGCCCTGACCAGGGACATCGACGTTGGAGCCGATGGTCGCCGCATCCGTGGTGACGTTCCTGTCGGCAGAGCGGGCGAAAGGACTCACACTGGCACCCATGCCAGGCAGTCGGATGGGCTCCGCTCGCGGTTCGGCCGTCGTCTCCATTTTCTTAGAAGGGGAAGAGAGCCACGGGCTGGAAGAGGCTTCCTTCGTCGGCGAGCGTCCCGCAAGGCCAGGAAGCGCATTACCGTATTTAGTAGGCGACCATGGAGATCCAACCTTGCGTTCATCGGAGTTGGAGCGCACAGGAGACATGTTTGTCTGAACAGCGGGTGGCCATCGATCCCGAACGGCGGGACTCGAAGGCACGCTGCGGCCAGCCGAGCCAGCCTGCATTGCATCGTATTCCTTCTGAGCAAACGAGTCGCGCAGCTGAGCTTCCTTGATACGCTGGCCGACCATCTTCTTGGCGCTCAGACGCGAGAGCGAGGCTGTCGGGATGCGGTCGGCACCCGACAGCTCGTTCGCGGCGAGGCTGTCGGAACGGGTGGATGGCTGCGATGCCGCCGTGTCGGGTTGCCCCGTGGACTGAGTCCATCCCCTGCCCAGGCCGCCATCTGGCTTGGGCTGTGCACGTGCAGCAGCAACCACTCCAGCGACAGAAGGGTCAACAATGTCCTCGGGCTTGAAAGGACTCGTGGCAGCATCCTTGCGCTCGGTGGAATGCGCCTCGGCGTGCGAGCTGGAATGCGCCTTGGGAATTGGGAGCGGGCGAGACGTAGAATGGTTGGGTGCCGCAATTCCAACACTCTCGTCACGCACTGGAGACGGTGCCAGCGAGCCTTTGAGTGGCGAAGCAGGACGATCCAGCAGGGGCGAGGCGGAGGCGCTTTCGGCTGACGTGAATCTGTGAAACTTGGAAGGACTGGAAGCGCGAGGAATGACTGGCGAAGGTGGAGCACTCGTGCGTGGAGTGTTCTGCTTCTCCATCAGCTCCAGGTACGCCTTCTTGGGCGATGCGGGGCGGGTCGATGCGGCGTTTCCGGAGGAGCCGGACTGATACGAAGGCGGGTCTGTCGCGGTTCGCAGTGGCCGACCGAGCTCAGCAGAGGCGTATCCATACTTGGCCGGACTGCTGCTGGCCTTTGTTGGCGAAGCGGGTGTAGGGGAGTCCTTGACAGGCGATGCGGGGGCGCCGTCGCCCGTCCTTCGCTTGCCAGAGGCGTCGGCCCGCTCCTCGAGGAAGCTGGCGAGGGAGCGGCCCGAATGCGGCGACATGCCGGGCAGAGGCACCCTGCGACTCTCGTGGATGAGTTCCGCCTCGGGAGGAGCACTCTTACCGTCTCCAGCCAGCTTGCCGAGGCGAGGACCGGCGGCCTTTCCGCCCATGAAGTTGGCAAGCGAGACCGGCGACTCGTTGGGGCCTCGCGGTCCCGCTGCGATGCCCGTGGGACCGTACTGTCCACCGTACCGAGCGAGCAGGGAATTGGCACGCTTGATACCCGTCACTCCCGACGCCTTGGGAGGAGAGGCGCCGAGCAGCGGCGAAGCCGAAGGTGACTGGGAGGCGTCGGGAGGCGCCATGACAGCGGCAGCGAAGCTGGGAGAATCGAGGGAAGGCGTCGCCAGGGGCGAGTTTGTTTGGGACGAGATGCCACGGATGCCAGAAACCGAGAGGCGATCTCTGCGCTGCTGTCGCTCGAGCCTCTGTCGTTGGAACTCCTGCTCCAGCTCGGAGGCTGACGAGGTCGGTGCTGTATCCGCAAGACCTGAGGATCCTTGGTTGCTGGACGTGGCCGAAGCTGAGCTGCGTTGGCGCACTTGGTCAACCCAAGACGCAAGGTCCTGACTCGTCCCGTCGGAAGCAGAAGAGACGTTTTCGGATGGTCCCGAGGCGTTGGGCGTTCGTTGAGACGAAACGTGATGGTGGGAGAAGGTCATGATGAAGATGGACCCAAGGTCAGACACTCGGCGTGGCCTGGCGGGGCGTGGGATGGTCGCTGCAGGTGTGTGACATGAAAAGGTTGTGATCATACAGAATAGGTCTCCTCGCTCTCGGGACCCCTTCACCGCCAGATGTCGAGGCGAGGCTTCGACGCTCGGCTCGGCTTCGGCCTGGGGCGCCTCTCGCTGCGCGTGATGAGACGAAAAGACGAAAATCGTTGTCGTGCCTCTCTGCAGTTGCCTTTCGCATGTGACGACCTTTTTCCACCCAACAAAACAGCGCGTCCGAGGGACCGTGCCGCTTTGACCTCCTAAAGATCTGAATCTGAAACTGCATCGGGGGATCAACACCTTGAGAGAGGGGCAGGGGCAGACGACGGGCGCTCGATCCTCCCGCCTCCAGGCTGCGGGACTCCCGCAATGACCCCTCAAAGGATCTCCTATTCTCTACTGTATGCGCCTCCTCGCGGCTCATTGGGCCTTGCAGAAAGCACTGGTTCTCCCGCTGGCTGAGCAGCGATTCGCTCCGCATGTCTTGCCGGCTCGATTCTTGTTGCTTCCTGCGAATGTCTGAACGGCAGATTACCAGGGCGACTAGGCGCGGAATCGGGGACGAAAAGGGAGTGAAAATGTTGCCTCAAAATCCCCAACTTAAGCTCAACTGCTGCCAGCTGGCTGTCCAGAGTGCCCGTTCGATTGACAGGGCACGGACAAAGTCACATCTGGACGGAAGTGCCGTGCCAGCACTGCCTCGCTCGGAGAGAAGAAGGCGAAGGAGAGGATCGAACGCTTTCTGCGTGAATGATGCGAAGGTGTGAGAAGTCCGGCACGCCATGAACAGCTTGTCGGATCACCCGGTCAGTTCACAGCCTGGTTTAGTATGACATCAGGCTATGAACACCAACGTACTGCGATGTCGGATACAGAGTGTGATACAAAGGTGCGGATGTGGCGGCGCTTCGGGACATCCGTACTTGCAGCAGGCTCTTCCCATCGACGCCAGTTGCGCGTTGGTCACGTCAGGCGAGCCGACAAGGCCCCTGCCCGCGCTCGACCGCCTTGATCCGACCTGCAGCGGCATGAAGCGGCTAGTCTGGCTTGCGCCTGCCAGCCGGGTTCTCTTGCCGTCGAGTCTTCGCGTCGACGCCTTCGAGCTCTCGACACGACGAGCTTCGAGCAAACTCAAAACACAGCCAGGCCAGCCCGCGGCGGATTTCGATAAAAATCCGGGAGAAATCAGGAGGCACGGCACGGATTACTCGCGGACGGGCCCGACACGCGACACGCTGATTTGGATGGCCACCTGAGCGGCGAAATTCGAGCTCCACACCTCTTTGGCTCTGCACACCACCACCACCTCGATATCAACTGATTCGACAGATCCATCCATCCGCTCACCTTTGCGACGCCATCCCATCCCAGCACCGATCGTACCGACCATCCAGCTTATTTGAAACATGTCTGACCCGAGAGCAAAGGGAGGCAAGGGCGGCAACGCCAAGGTGGAGCCCAAGAAGCAGGTCACGCAGTCCGCGCGTGCCGGTCTCCAGGTGAGTATCCCGCGCGCCCCTCGGATATTAGCGACGACGTCCATCCGCCATCCATCCGCAATCCCTCGGTTCATACGCCGGCCGTGCTCGCAATCGTCCCTGCGCCAATCTTGGTCACCGCTCGGCTGCAATTCTGGCGCCAGAGATCTCCTTCCGCCTGTCTGGATCCTGCGTCATGCCATCCATCCACCCAGCATCGACGCGTCGAAGCGGCGCATCCTGCCTGGGCGACGCGTCGTTGGTCCAAGCGAGTCCGCTGGAGCCCGTTGCGCGAGCTCGTGGTCGCTCTGACGCGTCCAAGTCCACACAGGAACGTCGGCGGCCAAGCAAGTCGGATACCAGCGACTCAGTGTTCATGCACGGCTGTTGTCACCTCGTGGCTCGGATCGACGCAGGCCGATCGACTTGGGATGGCATCTGTGACGTGAGGCTATCAGCAGAGCGGAACGGTGTCGATGGTGACAAGGCGTTCAGCACTCGTCCAGACGACGCAGAGCTCGAGGCGGCTCGAGGATTCGGACTGGTCCGACTGGCCGCAGTTGTGTTTGGCGTCCTGCAAAGACTGGGCAATGCTGACTTTATCCATCTTACCAACATTCCTGCACGTCTCCGCACCCCCTGTCTTGATCGAATGCAGTTCCCTGTCGGTCGAATCCACCGTCACCTCAAGAACCGCACGCAGAACCACATCCGCATCGGTTCCAAGGCCGCCGTCTATACCTCGGCGATCCTGGAGTACCTCACCGCCGAGGTGCTCGAACTTGCAGGCAATGCATCGAAGGACCTGCGCGTGAAGCGCATCACGCCGCGACACTTGCAGCTGGCGATTCGAGGAGACGAGGAGCTCGACTCGCTGGTGCGCGCCACGATCGCCGGAGGCGGTGTTCTGCCGCACATTCACAAGACGCTCATCAAGGCGCCAAGCAAAAAGAAGGCCTCGGCAGCGGAGTAGGCATCTTGACATGGCCTGCGCCTCGAGATCCGATGGGTAGGACATCCTCTAGCCCACGTCCTTGATCCTCGCCTGCCACGACGCCACGTTCCGACCGACTCTGTTCCTCTCTCTCTTGCTCGCGTTTCGACCTTTTTTGTATGTTTTGTACTGTAGTATCCCCTGACGAATCGATTTCTAGCGCTGCTCTGCGCTTGCGTACTGTTGAAATTTTGACCCGTGTCCCCGAATCGTTCTGACCTAACGCAGGGAAGGGTAGGCCAGCAATAATGTTACATGAACGAGTCGTCGCTGTCCATGCCATCGTCTTGGTCGTCGTCGCCGCTGCCGGATGCATTGCCGTCGAGTTTGGCGAGCCTGCGTTCTTCCTTACGTCGTCTCTCCTCTTCCATGGCCTCGGCGGAGTATACTGGAATTGGTATCGGGGGAGGTCAGAGGCGTCAGGTCGCTGACAGGAGCATGTCATCGCTGGTTGGTGGCACTCACGCTTCGAGTAATCGCGCGCTTCTGCTTCCTCCTTGCGGCGCTTTTGTTCGGCCTGCTGTGCCTTTTTCTGAAGTTTCAAGAGAGGAGCGTTCAAGAGGGTCAGCATGGTGATCAACGAGGCAGCTCGGGCTGCTGAACGAAGAACGGAGAACGAAGGATGAGATCCGAAACTCACATCCTCGATGGCTTTCGCCTTCTTGACACGGCCTTCGTCGCGCAGACGCTCTTGACGCTCAGCCTCATGGTCTACCTGCACCTCCTTCTTGGTCTTGTTGAGGCGGTTGACAATAGCATTGTCCTTCTCTTTGATGTGGAAGCGCTTGACCTTGCGGTCGTTGAAGAAGGTAACGGCACCGACCGCCATATCGCCGGTCTTCTTGATGTTGGACCAGGGTGTGTAGATGATGGTGATGTTGGCTTTCTTGTTGCCCTCGATGGAGTTGGCTTTGACCAGCTGGGAGCAGTCGTTGACAAGAGCCTCTGGTATTGTCTCCCAGGACTCGATATTGGGTGGGAGGCGCAGGTATACGTGCGCGGAAGAGAGCTTGTCGACGTGGAACCACACGTCGCGTTCAAGACCATACCTGAGCAGTTCTTCGTTCTCGAACTTGTCCTTGCCCACATAGATGGTCGCTGGCGGCTCGACCGCCGTAGACGTGAAGTAGAGCACCATGATGGACGACGACTTGGCAGACCGAAGGGAGCGGGTCAGAAGCGAAGGGAGAGAATCGTTGGAAGAAGGAGGAGGCTGTGAGGCTTGGCTAGGAGCCGTCAAAAACCTCCAACTCACAGTGTGGAGGTAGTCACGTGCTTAGGCTGGGGCAACCTGCGAGAGCGGCAGCGCGAGAGCGGCGGCAGAGCAGTGGACGGACGCGTAGCAGGTGCGCTTCGAAATTTCGTGTTACATTTCGGAGAGGCCGTGTGTTGTTCTCGGTCGGCTCGTGTGTGAGGCTGCAGCTTTCTGCGCTGCGCACCGTCCATGATCTTCCGCCCCCTGCCAGTCAAAGACCACCATCATCCCCGAATCGCCTGCCCCAAAGCGCAAAGGGAAGGACTCTCAGCTCGCGCTCTTCGGTCATCTTTACCGTAGTTGCTCCCTCTCACCAGCACCTCGTGTCGACGGCCATGGAGGCCCAACTGGCAAACCTCCACCTTGATGGCGGTGCCGACCCCAAACAAGCCTCTCACCCCTCGCATGGGCAGTCTCATGGCAGAGGCGCGCATCCTACAAACGCTGCCATGAGACCTCTAGCTCCCTCGAGCTCCATCGCGTCCAATATGGGCATCAACGGTGGCGTCAACATGCAGCACTTCAACCGCATCGCTGCCTCTGCAATGGGCGGCGGGGCTGCAGTCTCCTCCACCGGGCTCACCAACGCCAACAGCATCGTGCAAGGCATGAGCCGCGGCGCTCCATCACACATGCAGCCACTCAACGCTGCAAGGCCAAGTGCGCAACAACCGACTCACGGGCATAGCAACCTCAAGAGTCGACCTCCAAGTGTGGCGGGAACCTCTGCTGGCGCCGCGGGCTCGTATCGCGCTCCAAACGCTCTGTCTCATACATCACAATCCACCAAGGCAAGCAACATGTTCGAGGCAAGCTCGTCCAGACCGCCAGCTCAAAATGCCTCCGCAGCCTCCTCGGCACCTACCGTCGACCTCGGCCGCTACGATGGCGGGCTGGAGCGCGACGAGGCCCGCGGGCGCAGAGGCACCATGCAATTCGATCCGCTCGTCTTGTCCTCGGCCGATGCGGGCAAGTCGCATCCACCGACGCGAGTGTGGTCGCTCAACGACTTTGAGATGGGTCGTCCGCTCGGCAAGGGCAAGTTCGGTCGCGTCTACATGGTCCGCACCCGCGGCGGTCCCAACAAGGGGTACATTATCGCACTCAAGTGCATGTACAAGAACGAACTCGTCGAGAACAAGGTGGAAAAGCAGCTGCGTCGCGAGATCGAGATCCAGATGAATCTGCGCCATCCTCACATCCTGCGTCTCCACGGATACTTCCACGACGAAGGCCGTGTCTTCCTCATGCTCGAGTTTGCTGGCCGCGGAGAACTGTACAAGCTCATGAACAAGCTTCCCGACCGCAGATTCGAGGAGAAGGTCGCTGCAAGCGTAAGTTCGCCTTCCCACATCGTTCACCTGCTGCGATCCCTCATTGATGTTCCCCTTCTTGCCTTGCTTGCTTCGTTCCGCTGCTGCAGTACATCGCTCAGATGGCAGACGCGCTATCGTATCTGCATAGCAAGCACGTGATCCACCGCGATATCAAGCCCGAGAACCTTCTTCTTGGCATCAAAGGCGACCTCAAGATCGGTGACTTTGGCTGGAGCGTACATGCGCCAGGCAATCGCCGTCAGACGCTTTGCGGCACGCTCGACTATCTTCCTCCCGAGATGGTCAACGGTGAACAGCACGACAAGGCCGTCGATCTCTGGGCCCTCGGCGTACTATGCTTCGAATTCTTGGAAGGCGTTCCTCCCTTTGAGGAGCTCGAAAACGCTCCGGGTAAGTTTCCAGTTCGGCTTTCGCACCGTGAGCCCAACCACTTGTACTGAACTGGCATCCTTCCCCTTTACAGCCGGCACTTATCGCCGCATCAACAACATTGACTTCAAGATTCCACGTCACTTTAGCCCAGAAGCGGCTGACCTGGTGCGCGCAGTACGTAGACCCTAATTTTCACCCTTCGACCGATCCTCTTCGCCCCGATCATGCCCGGCTGACCGATGAATATCGACGCTCTTCTGCTCTCCCTTCCCCGTCGCAACAGCTCCTCAAGAAGAAACCAGACGATCGCCTTCCCCTCACAAAAGTCTTGCGCCATCCCTGGATCATGAAGTACGACCCGGACGCGTGCCGTCGCGCATCGCGCGGCAAGATCCAGTAGTCTCAGCCAGGCGGAACTTTCACAGCTTAGAGGCCTGTCGCAAGATCTCGGCTTTCTGCATTCACAGCTCGCACCACGCTCATTGCTCTTACGGAATTGCATCACATGTCACCAGCTCTCGTACGCACATATACCCATGACTAGGCAGCCACACTGGATGGTTAAATTAGCCCTGAGTGCTGCCAGCGCCTTCCTCTGGCCGGAGGACCAGCTCGAGCAGTCGAATTGCCTCATTGTCCTCCATAGCAGGTTGTTGCTGCTGCTCATCTTCGTCGTTCCCAAGGTCTAGCTGCAGAAGCCTTCGCACGATTGCCTCGTCCTGATCGGCTTCTGATTTGTGCCAGGCGCGCAGGCCGACGCGGCAGATGTGCTCCGCAAGCTCGACGACCGACCCGGGCACGCCGCAGAGACGTGCGCAGTGGCACGCGTGCGACGCCCCCGCGAATCCAGGCCTCAAACGGTACAGATACGTGAGCGACTTGAACGCCTCGACCAACGTCGGCAGCAGTATGGTCTGCATGTGTGCCCGCTCGATCGGCAGGTCCGCCGGAAAGTGTCTCTCGATCGCGCCTGCATGTCACATCACCAGGCGCGGGTCAGACATCTAAACTTCGCCTGTGTCTAGCGTAGGTGGTTGAGGGTGACTTACGAAGATGATGAGTCGCGGATATGACGATAGGACACTTTGACCCGCGCTGCAGAAAGTCGTAGATCGTGGCGATGAAGAGTCCAGCTCCGTCTGCGCAAGATGTGTCACACGGATGTTCAATGCTCCATGCCTTGCCTTTCTGGCCTACTTCGCACCGGGATGACTCACCATCGCTGCGACATTCTCTTCCCACTTCGTCCAGAATGACAAGGCTTTTCTCGGTGGCCATCGACATGGCTCGGTGCAGGCGACCCAGCTCCCGCGTAAACGAGCTTCCTTCGCTCGATAGCGACTCGTCCTGCTTCATTCGCGTCAAGACTTGTACCACGTATGGGCGTCAGTATTCGAACACGCCATGTCAATGCAATCAGGCGACGAGTTGGCCTTACTTTTGTCAAAGACGCCCAGCTCGGCGTAGGTAGCAGGGACGAAACAGCCGCACTGGCTCAAGAAGCTGTCGGGCAAAACGGATCAGCTATACTGTGTTCTCGGCCGCCTTGGGCTATAGATCGGCTCTTACACAGCTAGTGCCGCCTGCTGCAGGAGACAGCTTTTGCCGGACGAGTTCCTGTGCAGCCAGCGTGTTGGGCATGTTACCAATCGAATCGTTTTTTGCATGCTAAGCCATGGGTCTTCACTTACGCTCCGGTAAGAACCATGACGCTGAATTTGTCTCCCGCACTGGCAGAAGCTTGCGAAGGTGGCAGAGATGCAGTCTCGATACTCAGGGGAGATTCGCGATCCTCGTGCGAGCCATCACGAGCTTCTATTGGTCTGGCTCTGGCCTCGTCGCGGTCATGCGCTACTCCGCGGCCGCCTCGGAGCTCGAGGTCGTTTGGAACCTGACGTTGAGCGTGGCAAGCGTCAATTATAGAGCACGGCTTATCCGTTTCACTTATGGTTGAGACTTACGAAGCTTTCATCCGATAGAGCTTTCAGAGCATGACGGCTGCCCTTGAGCTTGATCACCTGCTCCTCTACGAGAGTCGGGCCTGAGATGCCGTAGTACGAAGAGGACAGCTGCAAAAGACGTCAGAGCTCGGATCGCCTCAGAATAAGCCTGTACCAAGAACTCACGGCGCAATTCATAGAGAGTTGCTGCTCTTGCGAACGCCATAAGGCTAGCAGAGGAGAGGGCCAGTCCAGGTTCAGTCATGTACTCAACCGTGCTGACGTCGCCGTCCAAGCGACTTACCAGTCTAGCTGACAAAGGGCAGTGTGCGCAGCGAGTAGGTCCGTGATGCTGTCATCGAGGACGGCGTGGAGACCGTCGAGCAGCTCGATCTCTCGATCGACGATGAAAGAAGAAACATCTCCCAGCTGCGAGTCGTATGGTTCAGCACCCATGATGTCTCGGATCAAATACGTTACAAGTCATCGCACTCACGTTTTGATCCATGTCGGCCATGAGATTGTTCTTGAGGTAGACGCTGCTCATATCGATTACAAAAAAGTCATAAGAGTGAACGTCTGGACTGCATTGCGAGAAACACGGCGTAAACTCACGTCTCTTCGCTGGCAAACTGATGCTCGAGTGTAGCATCGTATTCTGTGCCGATCGTGTCGCCCCGCGGTACCACAATCAGGTAGCCTATCTGGGGGAAGTAGACGACATGGATGCTGAAGACCAAAAGGAGGCAAGATTAAGGCTCAAGTTAGATCTGGAGGACCCGAAAACGAGGCCGCAAGAAAGGGATTTGAACTCGACTTGCCTGGTGACCGAGTGGAATGCCGGTTGTCCCTTGAGTTCAGAAGCTACCCGTTCGAGCAAAGATGGTAGGTTCGCGGAGCGCTCCCTCAGCTCGTCGAGATGGGCGTCGACACCAGGTTGGAGGGTGATCTTGCCCTCGTTTTTGCTGTAACAAAAGCAAGTCGTCGAGTACAGCCTCGTGTTTAGCCACGGGAATGAGCTTCAACAAGTAGGCGGACTCTGATGCACGCACCTTTCTTCAAAGTCGATTTAGGATCAGAGATCAACGTCAACGTCAACGTCAACGTCAGTATCAGAATCGGCTCGCCCAGATGAGTTGACACGGAGCTTCGGACTGACCATCTGTTCTATCGTGTCTCCTAGCTTCACCATTGTCTCCGTACGGAGCTGGTCCTTTATCTATACAAACCCATCCCAAACAAGCTTCAGCCCTGTGCCTCGTCAACAGCATCGCATCACGTTCAAAATGGCTGCATCCTATCGGCTCTTACCTCGCGAATGAGTTCAGAGGAACTCAGATTAAGCGTGTTGAGCTCCATCCGAATGCGGAGAATAGCGTGGCAGGTCTTACGAAATGATGAACCAATTCAGATGTTTGAACATGATACACACGGCATAAAAGCCGCTGCACCTTACCTTTCGCAGCTTGTCCCAAAGCGAAGCAGAGCCAAGACCCTTATTGAGCTGGTGACAGATCTGTGGGATTTTTCCGAGCTCCGCAAGGCGGGAACGAATCTCGATGATCTCGGAATACGCCTCGTGCCTCACCAGAAGCTCCACTGCGTCGTGTCTTCGCTGGATCTCTGCGCGATTGGCGAGCGGAAGCATGATCCACCTCTGAAGGAGGGGCATCGAGGCTGGATTAGTGTCAGAACAGAATGTGAGCGTCAGCCATGTTGTTCGTCATGATGCCTGCCGGCCAATGGAACAAAAGGAGAGGGCGGCGGGATCCCACCTTTCGAAGAAATCAAGTTGAGCATGGCTGCCGAGTCACGTCGTATCGAATCAGACAAAGAAGAGGGTAAGGTCAACATCTGTCTCGCCATCGAAACTGACGAGTGTACAGCTCACCAAGCACTGTGAAGCCTTCTCTACCAGCCTTTGCGTGCACAAAGGCATGGGGGTCGCTTGAGCAGATGCTCATGCTGCGGAGCGTGTTCTCATCGACAAAGAGATACTCATCCAACGACAAAACGGAGAGGACTAGGGACCTTCCGACGTCCAGGCGATTGCGCAGGCCGGATAGAAGGGGCCCCACCGAGCATATCTTTGAAAGATGACGGCGCGGCGAGGGACAGGTCAGCTCGGGAACGTAGTTGGTGACGGCGCAATTTGACGTCCCGGACGCGGCTCGCTTCGACTTACCGAAATCGTGGCCTTGGACCTGGAAATTTTGGCGTCTGTGAGCACCGCGCTCGGCAGAAGACCTTCACCATCGATAGTCAAGGCATCGGTGCAAGCTGTGACCTCGGCGATGCCAGCCAAACCGAGAGCCAGCTGAAAGTCACGCGCCGGCCGAACCTCAACGGAAGCACGTCTTTGGTCGGCTGAGCGTCATGGCGTGATCAACGAAGGCGATCAGCACGCTGTCGATCGACCCAAAACCTGTCTCACACTCGCTCCCAAGGCACAAGACTCACAAAAAGTCTGCAAAACGGCTAGGAGGGGAGCCGGGCAGGTCGAAGATGCCAGGATGATGTCGGGATGAAATTGCGACAGCACTGCCCTCATCTCGACATGCAACCAGAGAATACAAGGTGGTCAGTGTACCAGCGCGAGGCGAGGAAGGGACGGGCGGTCTGCTGCTCACAGCTTTCGAGGACACTTGCCGCGGAGCCATGCACTGTCGCAGTGGCCTTTGCAGCGATATCATCCCTCATCAGTTCGGAATTATGGTCTACGTTTTGCAGCGGAGCTGGATTCACCTGCTGAGGAGAGAAAAAGTTGCACGGCAGATCCTCGCAGAGGAAGAGCTGCTGCTCCTCCTCTACAAAGACAGCACAGCCAAGATGGCCTCTCTGAACATGAATTGCGACTGCCGAGAGCGGAAGGTCTCTCAATGCCGTGCTGGCACGATCCTCCTGGTCGTGTGTCGCTGCTCGAGCGTTGGCGCTCGGAGTAGTGGCGTTGACGGCATCTGAAGGTGGTGCAGAGCTCATCGCGGCGTCAAGTGCGAAGCATTTGTTGGGCCGTGGCTCATCTCGACCTGGGTGGGTCTAGCAGAAAGCTGCATCTTTTATGATTTCTGGGAGCCCACCAGATCCGCGTCCATTGTCTCCAATCGGACTGCATCACTTGCATGCAACGAGAAACTCTGAGTCATGCGACGATTGGACGCATATCACGCGAATCGTGGAGAGGAGAACATGGCATGAAAGATGGCGGGAAAAGGGGAGCGTGGGAGCATCGGCCCGACGCCGAAAGCGCTGCTTCGCGGACAATCCGATGAAGGGATGAGAGATGAACGAAAAAAAAAGAAAAGAAAAGCCAATGTTCGATGGCACTAGCGCCAGATTGCGATGTGCGCTTGACTGTGGTGGGCTGCGGCTTCGCCGAGCGATCTGCGGAACAGGTCCTCCGCGGAACGGGCCAGGGCGGGCCGAAGAAGCGAGTCTAGCTCATGATAGCCTCGACGGTCCCAAGGCAGAGTGAGCGGTTCTGCTGCGAATCGCACCGAGCGGATCCACCGTGCAGGAGCCGGAAGAACGCAAGAATGCATCCAAGGTTTTCATTTGGTGGGCGGTTCTGTCTGCATGAAATGACGACGCTGCTCTCGATGCCACTGTGAAAGAGATCCGCGGTCGGAAATGCCGATTCCAAGGTTGTGGGAGCCGGCGCGTGCTGCTGGTGCGTGTTGAAATCGCCAGCCGAAGTCCACGCTGCTCTGCTGCAGATTACCTTAGGTTGGGCCGAGCACGCGCGATGTGCATGATCATGTCCATTGTTCTCGTCGGAACCATCCGCTTCTGTTGGCGCCTCCTCTGCAGATACAATGCGAATGAGGCGTACTTTCATCCCACTCTCATCATGGCGCCCTTCCACCCTGAGACTCCACCATGTGCGCCCACTCGGAGCTACTGCAGGCGAGGAGAAGCATCGAGCGGTCGTCGACGACCTGAATGGAAGTCGATGAGTCCACTATTCCGCCCGGCCAGCAGTTCAGGCCCCAGTGTCGCCGCCATCCAGATTAGCCCGCGCCGGTCCTGCAGGCGTGCGGTATAATAACTTGATGGGCTCTTTCATGTGGGGGTTCGCTCGGCTTCCCGCCCAAGTGCATCGAGATCCTGTTGTTGTCGAGATGACTGAGAGTGTGACAAAAGGTGTGACTGTCTCGCTCGGCTCTTCCGTTCCAGGTGTTTTCAGCGGTATGATAAAACTGCCCTAGGAAACGTTGCGACTCGTTCGGCGCCAACCCTCGGACCGGTGATGTGCAGAGTCGGAGCGTTTCCGATCCCGCAAGGAAAAAAAAAAAAAAAGA